GGGAAAATGCGGAGGTAGAAGACGATGACGGACAACTTCACCAGTGCAGTGTCCAGGAAGTACAGCCATGCTATCGTGTGGAAGTATCGCAGAACCGCGGTGATCTCGCCTGCCGACAGGGTCCAGATGTCCCGGCCCAGCCCGTGTCCAGCCAGGCCGTAGATATTGATGAAAGCGCTCGCGATGATGGTACCAGTCGCGCCAAGGGCCAACCAGTCATCTAACCACAGCGAAGATCCGACCACCCACTGCCGGCAAACAAGGCGGGCCGTGGCAAAGGCCACGGCCAGACCTGTCATCGTGGACGCCACCACGACAAGCTGACCAGACCGACTTCGTGCCGAGGAATGGCAAAGGGCAGTGGTGATATTCCTCGCGGCTTCCAATGGTTAGGTCAGAGAACAGTCAAGTCTTTTCGTCACATACAGAGAGCTTCCGCTGGCGTACAAGAAACACCCACGCATACGCCGAGGTACGCACGAAGGGTATCGCTCGCACAGATACATTGTAGGTCAGCCGCGTCGCAGCTCTGTTCCATGATGCCTGCCGTGATACAATCACTCTTCAATACACCATGTTAGCTGCAACTGTGCCAAAGCCAGCGGCAGACTCACCACGCAGATAGGAAATGCGTCGAGCGCCTGCTGTGTCGGTGGCTCCGCCAAAGCCATGCGCAGAGGCAATAGAGCCATAAGCATGGGCGTCATAGTACGAAAAGACATCATGATCTAAGAATCCACCTTGCTTGATACCAGGCTTGGTGTGTAGAAGTTCGTGCGTTCCCCCGGGTGTATTTGGGAGGAGCAGGAACACTGTGCCTCACCAAGGGCAGAAAAAAGGAGATGAGTGTCTTGAAGTACTCGCACCTTGACCTCAGAGGTCCGCGGTCTCGGATTCCGTGCCCAGGTACCACGACGCCGTTGCCTTGGCACGGCCAAAACAGACGAATGGAGGCGATGGCTGGAAGCAGTCGGAGGATTGTATATAGCCAGCCCCGTGGAGAGGCACGAGCAAAGAGCCAACGCCGCGACTGGACTCGATAGACATGAAGGTCGCCTACATCACCCCTTTCGTGGCCTTGGCGGCCGCAGCCTGCGTGAGGAAACCAGATGTGGGCCTTTGGGACGTGAAAACGGGGGAAATCTTTATCGATGCCTTGTATGCACTGAAGCTCAGGGATTATGACGAAATCGAGCGACTCAACCCGGGGATAGATGTCAACAAAATCAAGCCGTCACAGTACACCATCCCGTACGTGGGTGACGTGGATTGGCCGGCGACCTGGGTCACCTCATCCTGCACGCCTACCCTGATACTTGACGGGCGAGCTGTTTCTGCTACGCCTACGGCCGACCTGGATCCCACGTCTACGGTGTCTGACATAGCATCCTCCCTTTTAAGCATAGGGACCGCCCAGATCAAGAGCCCCGAAGCCACCCCGCCCCCTACCCACACACCAACGCAGGAAACGACCTCTCCAACCGACACTCATACCAGCGTGAGCGTGGACGAAAGCCCCTCTGCGACGCATACGGGTCAGACGATAAGTACCGCGCTCCGTTCTCCAGTCTCATCTCCATCGAAAGCCACGCCGACTATTCTACGTTCGACGTTCACGACCTACAGTACGCCACCAGCAGATGCCTTCACTACGGTCTTGCCGACCGGGGGGGCCGAACTGCGCGAGGATAGTGAGTACTCGCTTCAGTTCTGCCGCAAAGATGGCGTCTACTTTACCCTGGAGGACACACATAAGCAGAATGCGAAGGACTTCTGCGAACAGTATAGCAAACACAAGATGAAGGAAGAGTCGGACAGCATCACGTCTCTGTACGAAGGTGACAACGATGAAATCTACCAGTACTCCGTCTTCTGGATCAAGGGATGCACATTTCATCAACAGCAAGACTTTACCGGCTGTTACGATCTACTGTATGACAATTTCAAAGACTGCAACAACGGTGGCAAGGGCGGCACCAAGCGCAAAGGCTGTCTTTGGTTCGAATACCGCCCGAACTGGATGGAAGATATTTGATGAGGGGCCCTGCCTTTCACACGAGATATCTCGGGCCATTGTCGGACGCGCGCTGCTAGCATGATTTATGCTGTGAGCACCTACGGTGAGAGGAACGGGTTTGGGGACCATAGAATAGGCGACGGTAGGATAGACGGTTGGTGAGAATGGTGAGGCAAGGTACATGAGAAATTTCACACGCGTTCTCTAGCTAGTCATTAAGTCAGGAAGAAGCGCCTCCGTGTGTCGCTCCTTGATTTGTGCCCACCTCCAGTGAAGGCGCTCGCTGCACTCGGCATCTCCATCTCTGTCCTATCAAGGCCGTACTCCACACAACCGGAGAGCGAGGGCACGCACCGCTTTCCTCCGTAACGGCCTCTGGATGTCTCAAACAAGTGCCTGCTCCCTCGTTAGGAATTGGTCTAGGCACAACATCATGTATCTCACCTATTCTAAGGGAGTCGGGGAAGCCCGTAGTGTTTGTTTTTCGAGTTCGTGGCATGGATGCGAAGACGCACGATACGGCCGCCGTCGTGGAGACTTGGCTTTCGGTACCATTGTATACTCTACAGACTGTCTATAAGGCCTAATATAACTTCACAACGTCCACATATGTCTTCCTCACGAGCAAGCAAGGTCGACAGTCGACAGTCCTCGGTATTTCAGTGGTGATTTCCGCTCCACAGGACTAATCCCAACCTATTGCAGGAAGAGCACAGGCGTTGCATCCTCATCATGGAGTTTCTGGCCGAGCCACATACTGAGCAATCCTCCGCTGTCGAGAGAAACAGAACAAATCCGTCGCCGTCGAAACGACAATATGCTCGGGTCATCTTGCGTGGTAAGTGAGGGACGGTTCAGCACGATGCCTATGCTTTACAGCAGACCAGGAACCTCGTGCCCATTTTTTGGAGTGGCACTATATTGCAGTGCAGTTTGCCAGCCATTTGTTGCGCTCCGTAGTCATGAATCTTTGTGCGTCCTTAAGAGAGCGGGATAGACTGGCAGCCGCATCGGCCGTTTTTTCAAGCAACTGGTACACAGTGGCCCATGACGAACGCACAATATTTCTCTGGTGCTGTAGCGCATCTCGTTCGCTTTCGAGTGCTCGTATCGCTTCGGCATCATCATCGTAAGCGCTCCCGAGAAGCTGCCGTGCGACCTCTTCCAGTTCAAAAGCGTCAGAGTACACACTAGAAACAGGACGCATCGGGTGATCAGTACGACGATCGCAGTAGCAGGGAGGGAACGCTGCTAGAAGAACCCTGAATTAATATAGCGGCCGATCTATTCGTGGCCCGAAGTGGCCAGACTGCATATCATCGCGTGCTATCCAGGACGTGACGCCTCGGGACAGATTCTGGCGTTCAGCCAGAAGTCAACGATTGGACGGTGATCGCTCAGCCATACAGTATCCACATCTCACAAGGCAGCCTCGAATTACCCTTCCTATTCAACATGGATGCACCTTGGAATGCGCACGCCAATATTAGCACGAGTCTTCGTGCGCACAGCAGTTCGTCCTCGGGTGCCAAAGTCACGACCTAACATACGACCGCATGCGCCGCCAAGCAGCCTGCACGTGATATGATACATGGCCCACTGCCACCAAAATATCAGGGTCATCCATAAAACATCATGATCCACGGGTATCATTGCGCGGTTTCATTTGCTTCGCGCAATGATCCCAGCTTCACCACAGTCCGTGTCTACC